GGAGCGGCAGGAGCAGCAGTAGCAGCATGAGCACGAGGAGAACCAGGAGCAGGAGAAGCGGAACGAGAAGGAGCAGCAGCAGAATGAGGAGGGAGCCGTAGGGAGGAGGGGAGAGGAGATGAGGGTAAAGGGGAGAGAAGAGGGTGTCTGGGAGTGCGCTCCGTGGGGCCACCTCGAGCGATTCGTGCACCCGGCAGCACCCCTCGCCCACGTAGGCGTAGTTCCCGGTCGGCACGGTCTGCACCGCGTCCTGCCGAGGACGGCAGGAGCCGCAGAACAAACCCCGCAAGTACCAAGAGGAGGAGGAGGAGGAGGAGGAGGAGGAGGAGGTAGGAGAAGAGGAGGAGGAGGAGGAGGAGGAGGAGGAGGAGGGGAAGGAGGAGGAGGAGGAGGAGGAGGAGGAGGAGGAGGAGGAGGGGAAGGAGAAGGAGGAGGAGGAGGAGGAGTAGGAGGAGGGGGAGGAGGAGGAGGGGGAGGAGGAGGAGGACATCCTGTATCTTGTAAGGTGCGAGCGCCCTGCATGAAACTTTGACTGGGACCTGGCGTTGCAGTGGGGCGAAAACGAAGGCGGGTGGCCAGACAGGTTGGAATGAGGCGGCTATGGGAAAGCGACGGGCGGTGTGAGGAAGCACGTGAGAAACGTCGTCGGGCCCGACAGGCAGAACCAAACGCCCAGCATGGCGTGGACAAACACGCCCTGGCACAGCTGCCAAACGGGCACACGTGCATAGACGGTTAACAGGCACAAGCTGGGACCGACCTCCAGCCCCCATATTCTTGGCTAGCCCCCAATAGCGCCAGCATCGCCATGCCTCAGGGGGGAAGCTAAAAACGGGAAGCACCACCCCCGAAAGGGAGACAAGACCCAAGCCTACACCCTGGAGCTCCCCCATCATCCCCGCCCCGCACGCACAGCATTCAGGCAGCTCTCGAGTCCTTCCGCTCCGAGGGACGCCGAAACTACGAGATGCGCGCTGCTCGCGACATGACCCTACGGGGGGGGAATGGACGATCCACAAGTCCACCTCCCCATTCAACCTGCTGGACTGACTGGCCTAGACTCCTGGGCAGTCAGACCGCCTACGACTGGCGACGACGACGACGACGACGACGACGACGACGACGACGACGACGACGACGTCCACGACGAAGACGACGACGACGACGACGACGACGACGACGACGACGACAACGACGACGACGACGACGGCAGGGGGGGTCCTCGCAGCAGAGGGGCCGACTGGACTCCGTGGGCGGCTGCCTGCCGCGCGCTGCCCCCCAACTCTGACCCGGCAGCCCGCCGCCGCCCTCGTGCTCGCCGTCACCCTCACGGCCGTCGTCCGTCGGTCGTCCTCGTGCTCGTCTGCGGTCGTCGTCACGGCCGTCGTCCGTCGGTCGTCCTCGTGCTCGTCTGCGGTCGTCGTCAATCGTTCTCCTTCTGCCCCCACGCCTCCCTCCTCCTCGCCCTCCTCCACATCACCACCGCCACAATTCACCAGCACCACCCTCCTCCTCCTCCTCCTCCTCCTCCTCCTCCTCCTCCTCCTCCTCCTCCTCCTCCTCCATCTCCTCCTCCGTCCCTTCTTCTTCTGAACAACTCCTCCATGTCGCGCACCCAAACGTGTCAGTAGGGAGGGCCGGGCATTTCGCCTGAGACTTCCTCACGACGTATGATCCTGAAGTTTGCAGTCTACAGTAGTTTGAATGACGGACAGGGGGGGGGGTCGTTTCCTAAATTGTGCTCTCGCATCAGCGCAGCGAACACTCGTCTTAAATTGTTGCAGCATGGTAAAGGATCAAGGACGTCGTTTTCAGAATGGGGTTCTCGCATCGGCGCCGCATCATCTCGGTTCAAATGTTTGCTACGGTTTCAAGGATTGAGGGTGATACTTTCCAAAGTGGGGCTCTCGCCTTAGCGCTGCGCACGTTCGTCTTCAACACCAACTGCATTTACACGGATAGCGGACAGCTCCTTTTCCTAATCGGTTTGCTTGGCATCTCTTCCAATGTTCAGACTAGAAGCTTGAACATACGTAACAGCTACACCGGTGGAGGGCGGCTCCTTTGTTCACATAAGGCCCTCGCCTGACAATGCCTCGACGACCATGACCAAAGTGCTAACTTGCGCGACGCTTACCAACATAATGGCGGCCCTCTGTCGAAACGGGGATATCGCTGGGCACCCCGACACCCCGTTGGCCTGTATGGTCTCACCTCTGCGCAGTTCGTATAAGTTGCTAGAAAAATCCCACGTAGATGATTTTCGAAACGGGGCTCTCGTCTGAATGACAGGCCCACCAGGGTGTTGTTTTTTCAAGGGGACGCGTCTTGTAGTGTGAAGGAATGCCTGTAGAGACTTCTGAAAGGGGGACTTGGAGAGGGAGGGTGTGTTGCAGCATCGTTGACGCATCTTGGGTCTAGTCTGGTCATCTTCCTCCCCGTCCGATTCCTCCTCCTCATCCTCCTCCTCGATTTGATACCTCCTCCTCCTCCTCCTCCTCCTCCTCCTCCTGGTCCTCCTCCACCTTCTCTCCTCTCCCTTCCTCTTCAATGCCTCCTCCTACTCATATTGATACTCGTCCTCGTTATCTTTTCCTCCTTGGCGAGGAGGAATGCGAACAGGAGCACCAGTGGGACAAGCGAGGCGGAGGAAGATCGGGGTTCCAGAACGTTCTGGGAGCCCAGAGGAGTGAGTCCAGGGAGGCTGGGGAGCCCACGGAGTCCAGGGAGCCCGTGGACTCTATGGAGCCCAGTAGGCCCAAGAAGTCCAGGGCGCCCAAGGAGCCTGGGGAGCCCATGCGGTCTAGAGACTCCCGTGAATCTGGAAGTCCAGGTAGGCCATTGAGTCGAGCATATGGATTCTACGGAGTCCAGTGGGGGTCCAGGGAGTCCACGGAGTCCACGGATTTCAGAGAATCCAGAGACTCCAGGGATTCCATTGAGTCCGGCAGTCCACGGAGAGTGCAAAGAATCAGGCAGGTGGATGGTCTCCGGGAGGTCCTGGGCGTCCAGAGAGCCCAGCGAGCCCGAGGGGCCCAGGGACTCCAGGGTGTCTAGGGATCCCCCGAAGTCTTGGCCTCCTCCTCCTCCTCCTCCTCCTCCGCCTCCCTCCCTCCTCCTCCTCCCTCCTCCCTCCTCCCCTCCCTCCTCCTCCCTCCTCCCTCCTCCCTCCTCCTCCCTCCTCCCTCCTCCTCCTCCCTCCTCCTCTCTCCCTCCTCCCTCCTCCATCCTCCTCCTCCCTCCTCCTCCTCCTCCTCCTCCTCCTCCTCCTCCTCCTCCTCCTCCTCCTCCTCCTCCTCCTCCCTCCTCCTCCTCCTCCTCCTCCTCCTCCTCTCCCCTCCTCCTCCTCCTCCTCCTCCTCCTCCTCCTCCTCCTCCTCCCCTTTTCATCCTCCACCTCCTCCTCTTCCCCCTCCTCCTCCTCCTCCTCGGCCTCCGCCTCCTCCTCCACCTCCTCTTCCTGTTCCTGCTCCTCGGAGTCCAGGACGGAGTCCAGGGAATCCCCGGAATTCGCGACGTCCAGAGTTCAGGGAGTCCATATAAGGAGACCACGGATTCTGGACCAAGGAATCCAGAGGGTCCAGCGAGCCCAGGAGGCCAGGAGAGCTAATGGCTACTAGGTTCAGGACTGGAGTAAAGAATGTGTTTTGCCATGTGTCCTGATGTGCTACAACTATACTACTCTGAAACAGAATACATGCACGTGGTAAACAGGTCGATACGATCATCCAACGCAAGATACGTTTGCATCGTTTGAAGCAGCTTGGACATGCGGTATCACATAGAATGAACGCCACTCACCAAACAGGAGAGGCAAAGGGGAAGAGGACGGAGGGTGGGGGAGGGGAGAGAAAGGCGAGGGGGAGGGGGAAGCAGGGAGGGGTCACGGAGAGGAGGTGCGGAGGCGGAGGAGGCACACGAGCACGCCCAGCCACACGAACCTGTACTCCCTCCGCAGATCACGCGGGCACGAGCGACCGCGTTCAGACGGGAGGCGCCGCGTGCGTCCACGCATACAAAGCCCGACAAATGTGGCAGAGTCTCTCTCGAAAACACCGGTCAGCATCGTGCTGAGTCAGCAAGACTGTAACTTCAGAGAGGACCTTAGGGGGTATCCATTTACAGTCAACCAGTATAGGAAGGATGCGCGATAAGGATGCAAGGGCCTTGGACGCCCATTTCGAAACTTTCCGAGCGGGGCGCGGCCAGCGAAAGCGGCGAAAGATGGACCGAGGAGGCAAGGATGCAAGGGTACCCTTGGGAGGGATGCCTATCCTTACAATGCGGGTTGACTGTATGGTGTAAGGAGGAACTGAAGGGCATGAGACGAGGAGCAGCAGCTGAGCAGACCTCAGGTTCTGCGCTTGACTGTACATTTAAGCAAACACTGCGAAAACACCTACGTACATGGCTGGCAACATGCATCGGCACGATCAGCCACAGACGGTCTCGCCCCTGTCGCGAAGAGCCGTCTCGAAGGAAGCGCTTATTTCTGTTGCATCGCAGTGTGCAAGCTGATCTGAATTGACACGCTGCTCAAAGCCTACACGACAGCAATAACAGGCAGTTCAAAGAGCCGACTGGTGGCGCTTGCGGCGATCGTGCTGCGCGTCTTGCGCTGAAAGGAGCAGCACCATATTTGCGTGCGTGAATGTGAATGTGAAAAGTAGAAAAAGAGAGAGAGAGAGAGAGAGAGACTGACAGACAGACAGAAATAGACAAGACAGAAATAGACCGACAGACAAAGGGGGAGAGATAGAGAGAGAGAGAGAGACAGAGAGAGATGCTGGTCAGTCTGGGCCAACCCCGATTGGGAACTAGTATGCATCCGACTCTCCTGGAAATGCGTGCACGAAAAACTGCGCCATCGCAGAGATGATAGCTCTCTGCCCAGCGGAACAAGCCAGGCCAAATTGAACGCTCAAACATCCACAGGCGCGGCCTCTTTCGACCGAAATGCCAGTGGAGGCGCTGGATCTAAAACATCATGAATTACCTTGGTCAGCGGCGCTTTGGGCTGAACTTGCTGCAAGGGCACCAAAACCAAGGACAGCTTGCTTGGCCAGCGACTCCACAGAAGCGGCCCTTCTCAGCCGAGAGCGAGGAAGTCCAAAAAACGAACCTGGGAGGGCAGAAGGCACACTCCTCCTGGCCCGAAGCAGGCCGACAATAACTGGAGCACAGCGATATCAGAACCAGAGATCGACTCGGGCGGCCCTGCCAGGCCCCCCCAGCAAAACATATGGGCTCGTCTGTCGAGCGGCCGACCGCCCCAGCGGCCACGTGCCTGAACCTGTCCGAGGCAAGGTGCACGTGGAAAGCTCCGCCCTGCACAGGGCTGTCGACCGAAGATGCATTGAAACATGACCCAGCACGAATGCGATGCTGCCGCGCACGCGCACTCACGGCCAAACTGTGCAGCATCGCTCGGGATCGGGGGCTGCGACTCCTCGCTGCTGGGGCCCACCCCCGTCACTCCGGCGCGCCCAGGCCCGCGCTCGGCACTGCTCTCGCGGCCGCCGGTGCCCCAAGAATTCTGGGCCTCGGGATTGGCAGTGTGCGCCTGGGCTGCACCGGGTTCCGCGCCCGCTGGGGCTCTCCCCAGTGGCTGCTGGAGGAGCAGGAGCATCACGACGATGATGAGGAGGGCGAGGAGACCCTCCAGGGCCCGGACCCGGCGTTGACGAGGAAGCCCCGGCCGCGCAGCTCCAGAAGCAGCTCGTCCACCAGAGCCTTCTCGCGCGAGGCCTGTTCCCCCACCTTCCTCTGCAGCACCACCAGCAGCGACCGCATGGACAGGGCATTGAAAGCCCTCTCCAGAGTCCGCAGCTCCCGAGGCTTGACCCGACTACCAGCGACGACGACGGCCCCGTCGGGCCCAGCGCGCTGCTGGCTGGAGTACTCCTTGAGCGCGTCCGTGGACAGGTTCAGCGTGACAAGCTTCCTCTCGATGATGGGAAGCGCGCTGCCGATGCACTCGGCCGCCGTCGCCGCCTCCAGCGTCTTCCTGTGCGGCCTCCCAAGGTGCACGGGCCTGATCGGGTGCTGGTAGTGGCAGAACCTACACGCGTCGCTGTTCGTGCACTGGCCCCGCAAGAAGTACAGGCACGGCCGGACGCACATCTCGGGGTGGCCCAGGCTCCCAGCGTTGCGGTGGCAACCGCCACCGGCGCCAGGGTTGAGGATGGAAGGTGCGGCCGTGGCCCCCAAGCCCGCGTGCGTGCTGGGCTCCTCGATGCCCGCTTTTGCCCTCAGAAGCACATCGGCGATTAAGCAGTTCGTGACCGGTACCTCGCTGGGGTCGTCCACGTGGGCCACGGCGTGCTTCACGTTCGCAGTGGTCGTACGCCTCAGGGCCCGCATCGTCTCGGTGAACATCTCGGGCACGGCCTCCGCGATGTGCAGCTTGGCGTCTCTCAGGGCCTGTCGGCTCACCCCCGCGTCCTCCGGCAGGCTCCTCATCACACGGTCGCAGTGCCTTGTCGCCGCACGCTTGGACTCTTGCACGGCCTCGTCAACCGCCTGCCCGGTGATCTGCTCCAGCTCCTCAGGAATGGTCCACAACTCCGTCACCATTTCGTCGCTCTCCGAATTCTTCCTCTTGACCCTCTGCATGATGGCGCTCAGCTTCAGCCGTATCGCGCCATTCGCCTCCATGATCTTCGAGTCAAACGAGCTCCTGATGATCCCTGGGATTTGGCCCAGCTCATCGATGGCCACGTCGACTACATCTTCATCCCCACCACTGCAGCGAATGGCCTTCTGCACCAAGGACAGGTCGGTCTTCACGCTCTCGGCGAGGCTCTTGGCCTTGTTGAGTACCACGCTGCTCAGCTGCTCAGGGATGCTGTCAATGGCCTGCGCGGCGGCTGACAGGCGCCGCTTTTCGAGGCTGGTCCTCATCGTCTCCCGGCTGTTCGATGCCCATGCCTCTTCCATGTGCTTCGCCAGCATGGCAGTGTTTCTCTTCTCGGCTTGGAAGAACGCGCTGCAGCTGGAAGAAGACTCGCTGCAGGGCTCGCTGGAAGGCCGAGGACTGATGGAGCCCTGGGGCTCGTCGTCGGACAGGTCGATGAACGTGGCCTTCCACGACAACTTTTTGCGGCCCTCTGTTCTCGGCACGCTCCCGCGGCTCTGCCTCCAGGGCGCTTTCGCGCAGATCTCCGAAATGCCGCTACTCATCACATCCGTGCTTGCGGACGCCAGGGCACAGCTGCTGCACGCGTCGCCGTCGTGCAACACTGCGCGACCGTGGGCTCCTGTCTCATCGGTCTCGTCCTTGGATTCGCCCTGCGGGTCTGCGGACAGGAGCTTCTTTCTCATCGTCTTCCGGCAGTTCGAGGCCCAAGCTTCTTCCATGTGCTCCCACAGCACAGCAGTGCATCTGCGGTCGGCGTCGAAATACGAGCTGCATTTAGAAGAAGACTCGCTGCAGGGCTCGCTGGAAGGACGAGGACTGAGTGAGCCCTGGCGCTCGTCGTCGCGCAGGTCGATGAACGTGGCCTTCCACGACAACTTCTCGCGACTCGAGGGCGCTTTCGCGCGGATGCCACTTCGCACCGCCGTGGCCCTGATCCCGCGATCGGTAGCCGAGCCTACATTGCTGCTCTCCCACAAGCTGCCGCCGACCTCGTCTGCGCCGGTACCTGCCGGACTGTTCGCGGTCGAGCCGCAGGTCACAGCCACGCCTCTCATGCCAGCTTCGGGCTCGGCCACCTGCGCCGCTCCCCTAAAAAAGATCCAGGTGGCTTCAGCTACGATGGCTTGAGCCAAAGAGGAGACGAAGGTGAGGAGGAGGAAGAATGGGAGGGCAAGAACTTGGTTCCTCCTCCTCCTCCTCCTTGTCCTCCTCCTCCTCCTCCTCCTCCTCCTCCTCCTCCTCCTCCTGCTCCTCCTCCTCGTCCTCCTCCGCCTCTGCCTCCGCCTCCGCCTCCGTCACCGCCTCCGCGTCCTCCTTCTCCAACTCCTCCTCCTCCTCCTCCTCCTCCTCCTCCTCCTCCTCCTCCTCCTCCTCCTCCTTCTCCTCCTCCTCCACACGCTGCTCGCGCAAGCGGCCCCGCAACAGTCCGACGCCCAAGGAGGCGGCAAACGAACCGAGCCCGAAATCTCGCCAGGGTCGCAGCCAAGGCCGTGCGAATGTATATCTAGAAGGCTTCGCTTGAGAAGGTGATCCTCCTACCCCAGTCCTCCGGAGTGTTGAAGGAATGGGGACGGCCGCTTGTTTGAAGTCTGGGCCCTGGAAGCCCATGTCGGGGCCTGGGGCCAACAGCAACAAAAAACGGCAAAATTGTTATATATATATATATATACAAGGCTGCAGTGGCGCTTCGCGCCATGCACCTTGGTCCTTGAAGTTTGGCATGCACGCGGAGTAGCAGGAAGGTCAAGCCGACGATTTAGAAATAATTCCTTGTTGCCTTTTCCGGCATCGCCGCTATAATAATGTTATTCGTTATCCGTCCTCCATGTTTGTTTTCCTTATTTTCGCCGTACCCTGCGCATTCTCCCCATCCTCCTCAGCTCTAATTTGCGGAGGCTCCTCCTAGGAGAGCCTCTGGGGGCCTCACAAAACTTGTTTCAGGCTTTCCTAAGGCCTTCTGGAGGCCTCCTGGGCGTATTCTGGGGACCTCTGGGGACTTCCTCGGGCCACCCTGCCTCCAACCGCGGTCTCCCTGAACAACCGGGCCACGATTTAGAATGCTTCGGAGGGTGTCTTGAGGCCATCTGAAGCCACCATAAGGCTCTCTGAAAACCATCTTGGACCCATGTTGTGCCGTTTTGGGGCTCTCTTGGACTGCCTGAAAGCCCTATCGGATGGTTGTGGGGCGATGTTGGAGCCCCCCAGGCGGCTTCGGACGCCCTGAAGACCGCCGTCTTGGAGGGTCGGGAAGCCGAAAAGAGGAGAACTCCAAAATTCACCAAAAACCAACAGAAAATCAAAGATTCGTGCCTATGGGGGCCTTCTTGGGAGTGCTCTTGGAGGCCTCTTTGGGGCCGTCCTGGAGGCCTTTTGAGCCATCTTGAGGTCACGTCGGTCACTCTTGGAGCGCTCTTGTGCTGTCTTGGGGGTCTCTGGGACGTCTCCGAGGACCCCCCCTGATCGCCCTAGGTGTGCTGGGAAGGCTTGGCAAAACGCCCTGCGAGGCCCGGGGGGCCGCTTCGAGGCCCGTCCGGAGGGTCCCAAAGCCCCAGATCCCGTGAGTCCGGTTTTTTTTTGGGGGGGGGGGACGGGTCTTCCCCCCGCCCAGGCTTGCAAAAATCTCGGAAGAGGAATATAGATATATATATATATATATATACATACATACATACATACATACATACATACATACATACATACATACATACATACATACATATATATATATATGTATATATATTCGGCGGTGGACAAACATCCCTTTAGTAAACCTCCCCTTAGTGAAAACGGCCTGGGACCGAAACCGACGGACCTGGACCCGCAAAAATGACGGCCGCGACGCCCTCTCGCGAACCGAAAACGGCCAACTCCTCAATCGACGTGTCAGGGTAGGAGGTCTGTCCACCCCCGATATATGAATGTTAGGGTCAAGAGCCCCAGAACCCCGCGTGTGGAACAAATCATGATGGCCGAGGTCTGGGTCCACGGGCTCCTGTGGGGCCCAGACCTTGGCGTATGCGGTCTCCACGCCTGGCCCCGGAGCCGAAGCATGTCACTCAAGATCTGGGGGCCATCTCCTCCTCCTCCTCCTCCTCCTCCTCCTCCTCCTCCTCCTCCTCCTTGCCCTCCTTCTCCTCCCTCATCCCCCTCGTCCTCCTTCTGCTCCCTCGCCCTCCTCCCTCCTCCCCCGAGTCTCCGCCGAGGCTCGCGGAAGAGGCCCGGCCAGGGCGCCGCCTGTGGGGCTGGAACCCCGTGTACCCATCGTAGCTGGTGCGGGTCCTGCGCCGCGGGCGGCACACCACCAGGCTTGCGCCATCGGGGCTCGCACCCCCCAACGCCCGACCCGGCCAGGCCGAATTCT